CCATGGGTGTGCCAGCATGAGGGTGGTGAGAGTCATGAAGAATGCGCTATGTCCTTTAAGGGCGTGTTCAACTCCTCTCATGTGAGAGGACAATCCTAGGGCTGCTTCGATTCCAAGCCAGGAGTCGAACTCCTAAAGATGGCACACTCATTCTATTATGGAAGTATGACTATGCAATCTTTCCCTCTGGGCCTGTGCCATATATATTCACAGGCCTTGAGGCAAAGTCAATCTGAATGTTTAAACCCTTTTAGTGGTTTGTGCTTCCTTGTAGTCACTATTAATTTGGATGTCATTTCCAATACTCATCCACAAGTGATCTTTCTAGTCAAACATAATGTTTAATAGTTTTGAGACTATTTTTTAAAAGCACTGGTTTTATCATGCACCGTGCGGCAGCCTGACACATTCAGGCCCATCCTGTTTACACTTGCAATGCTTCCTACCCCTGCAATTAGGTAGTCACCAAGTTTCAGACCTCAGGCCTCTGACAGTCTCAGTGCTCTGGCCCACTGTTTTAACTGTCACCTCTACATACACTCTCCCAGTTGTCCTTCATCTTGAAAAGCTTACCTGATTATTTCCATTTGTATATAAATTCAAATGTAGATTTCCCCCCAAATCTCTCCCCCTCCAGATTTTATTTCTATCAATGATAGTATCATTTTTCAGCCAGAAACTGGACTCACTCTTGCTCTACATCATCTCTTTCCACATACAATCTATTATTAACGTCAACATTTCTTTCCTGCTGTCTCTTGCATTTATCTTTTCTATTCTCACACTCATGTCCTTAGTTCAGGATCTCACTTCACATCTAAGCTAGTATAACACAGTCTCATTATTCTTAGCCTCTCCCTTTTCATCCATCTCCCAGGACAGTATTGATAAATCTTCTAAATATCACTTGCACAAGTCACTTCATTGCTCAAATGCTTTCTTTCAACAGCATTTAAACTTTATAGATACTTTAAATTCCTGGGTATAGCATTTAAGGTCCTCTATAATCTGACTACTTCCACCTCTTTAACCAAACACCCTAAACATTCTATCCTATATACACTAGATCCCCCCAAACAAGCTTATGATTTGAAGGGCATGTTCGTTTGTTAACCAAGTTTAATAACAGGTGTATGTTTAAACTTTTATAAGTCGGAATCAGGGAGAAGAGATAAACAATGGGGCAAGGTCTCAAGGGAGGCATCTAATACTATGACTGACGCTCTCCTGTAAGATCAGTTCTATTGTTAACAAGAATATATTAACAAGGTATGAAATTGAACTAGAAAAATAACCTGCCTAGAGATTATTTAATGAAGGCAGTTTGAATGGGAAAAACTTGTAGATTATGAAAAGGCATAACGTCTTTATGAAGTTTTCTAGGAAGATACAAAGACTAATTATAGTTCAACCACCAAATCCTCTCAAATTAGACAAACAAAAGCTAGAGGAATTGTGTGACTTATCCACATTTATACAGCTACTTCACAGATGGTTTGTGAAATGAAATAACTGCGGCTATTTACTGAGCTTTTACCATGTGCTAGCTGGTGCTAGGTGCTTGACTGGTATTCTTTCATTTAATCCTTGCTTTAGCCCTTGGTACCTTAGAAAACCCCATTTTACATTTGAGAGAAGTAAATTACTAAAACGCTTCCTCTAAAGTTTTAATCTTTAGGATTCGCTGCTCACTTTTGTTTAGTGACCTGCCTTCTTCATCTGGAAATACTTCTTTTCTGTAGCTCACTTTGATACCCAATTTAAGACTTTGAAAAGACTGCAGCTATACCTAAAAAAATGTTATTTTCACCACCGACTTATAATGATCCATGCTAATATGAGCTATTTTATATAATTTTTCAAAAACACAAGTTTTAGAAAAAATTTCACTAGAAATTTGGTGAACTTAAGATTTTTGTTCACTTTTACATTATTTTCGTTTTTCCTAATATGGCACTGCTTTAAAAAAAAAAAAAGACCACAGAAAAGCAGGTGTTATATACAATCACCCCAGAAGGCTGAGTAAAGTAACACAATGAGCTCAGGGTCACCTGTCTGAAACATGCTGATGTGACAATGAAGATATTTATCAGCACAACAGTGTTTCTTATGGTCCTGGGAAAAGAGACCAAGAACGAATGAATGAGTGAATAAGCAAACGCTATAGTTGCGGAATTTGACAAATATAGACTAGTCTTTCCAAAAGTCTGGTGGTTAAAGTAAAGGAAAAGGCAGGGTGGCAGACTGAGGTGTTTGTTTGTTTGGATGGGCGACAAATGTAAAAGTGTATGGGCCGAGGGAAGGCGTTATGTGAAGAGCGAGTGAGCAACTAAAGAGACAGAGGGATAATTGACAGACCAAGGTCCCAGAAGACGCCTGTTCCACAGGACAAGTTCAGGGACAGGATGGACCACTATCCAGGATGACTTACTATGCCATGAAAATGGCTTAAGTTTGAGAATCTGGGTAACGTACAATAAAAAGTACCCCTTTTAAAAAAATCATGAGTCTATAATATAATATTCAGAATTACCATTTTTAAAGAACTGGTTAAGCTCCTACATACGTTCATTCATCTGACTTATTAAGTATTTTGCATACACCAGATCAATGAGTAAATTGTTATATGATGAAGAATCTTAAAATAAAATAACATTTACTTATTTTTTAAAGATACTTATACTTACTACAGATTGAAAATACTCAGGAGAGAGGCCTTCCAATTCAAGAATTTTATCCTCAAGTTTTTTAATTCTCTGATAAATGTCTCTTGGCACTGGACCACCTAAACACATTAAAAATATGCTGAGATACTACTGAATAATTCTTACAATATTTATAAAATACCATGCAAAGATACTTATGCAAATAAATGAGGAATATTTAAACTTAAGAAAATAAATGAACAAGAGTACATTAGAATGAAATCCTTAGCTCACATTTTCATATAATCCACTATGGGATATATTATACTTATACCTGTCCCCAAGCCCATTTATGCTTCCTATATTGCTAGGAGTTTTAAGTTAAATGCATTTCACGATATTGAATAGTTCCTGTATAGAACAATTTGTATTTCTAGACTCTGATAGTTACCTGGGAGGAGAAAAATACAGTTATAATTGACAGTTTAATTCAGTGGTTACAGTATATCATATCCTTTTCTTCAATTTACATTTCTCCCTACACGCTGTATTTTCTCCTTTAACCTAGAAGGGCATTAAAGATAAACTCTACCATATTTCTTAAACTTTCTAGAGCAGGAGATGGGATATTAAGGTTACTCAAATTTCAAGATTATGATTATATCCCCAATCCTTTCATTTCTCAGCACCTCGAATGCGCTCATTCTGCTCCAACCCATCACCGTCTCTCCCCGGATTATCGCCAACTTTCAAACTGATCTCATTTCTGCTTGCTCCCATAGTCTTTTCTCAACACAGCAGCCAGCGGTCCTTTTAAGAGGTAGTCAGATGGCATCATTTCTCCGCTCACAACCTTCTAATACCTTCACAGCTGACTCAGATTCAAACTCCAAGCCTTTCTCATTGTCTACAAGGTCCTGCACAATTTGGACATTGTCCCCACACTCACATCATTCCAGCCACTTGTTCCTTTTTTCTGTTACTCAGCTAGGCCAAGTACTGTCAGTGTTAGCACTGCTGATGCCCTCTACCTCCACATTCACAAGGCTTGCTCTCGCCAACTTCAGGTCTTGGCTCAAAAGTTACCTTAGCTTTAAGGCCTTCTCTGACCACCCTTGAAAAAATACCAGTGCTACCACCTTCCCCTACCCGGTACTCCCTATCCTCTTTCCCTTATTTTTCTCCAAACCATTACTACCACCCGACATTCTGTATATTTTATTTATTGCTTATTTCTTTACTCTAAGCTCCAAGAGGGCATAATCTGTTTTGTTCACTGGGTCTGGCTGTGCAGCTTGTGTACTGCACAAACCTGGGAAGCAGCGGTTCACAGACTACACAGGTGCTCAATATTCACTGACTTAATGGATATATGGTTAGACAATCATTTATGCAATTAAAGAATATGGGCAAATTTTCATACCAAAAGTATTAACCTTTAAATAGAAAAACTAGAAATACTGTTTAGAATGTATTTTATCTTCAGATCTTGGTTGTTCTTGCTCTTGAGTAAGATAAAATGAATGACTTATTCATCTGACTTTGCTCTTGCTCTCCTTACCTAGAATGTCCTCTGCTTCACTACCGTACTTTTCAAGAGCAAATTCAAGTTTCACCGGGTCAATAAAGCGTTGCCTGAATCTCTTCCTATGAAGGCTCCCTGTGCCCTCCCGTACCTTTCCTTTACAGCCCCTTTAAGACTCCACTTAGCTATTCATCCGTCTTTTTCCCAAACAGATCATAAAGTCCTTGAAGCGAGGGACTAGGACCACATCATCTCAGTATTCCTCATGTCTAAAATAGTGCTGGCACACAGTAGGCACAGAACAGATATTCTTCAAAATCAACTACTTCATACTATTAAGAGTTAATAAACCAGTCCTTTTATACAGCTGTATTTTAAATTCATCTAGTTCTCAGGGACAGGATTAATTTTAATGCTAATCACTTATTACCCTGGAAGATTTATTCATTCTCTTCTTCTACCTCCATCCAACAAATACTCCAGCTAGAATGGACTCAGAAATTCCCTGAACCATATTTTGTGCCTCTGTGCTTTTTGCAGATGTTGTTCCCTTTTTTTTTTTGCTTTGCTCTGCCTGCTAAAAAATTCCTACTAGCCCTTCAAGGGCTCAAATTCACCAGGCCATCCCTCGACCTCCCGAGATAGTTGAACACTAACTTTGTGTCCCCACTGTACTTGGCTCATATCTGAAAAGATAAAAGGAGCAATCGTTCCTTCTATGAACGTGTAAATACCTGTTTTGTGCCAGGTACTGCACTAGGTGCATAGTAATGAACATGTTCAGTTAGTAATGAACATAGACCTCACGATTTGGCAGGGGAGACAGATATTAAACAAACACAAAGGAGGGCAGGGAGCACCAGGTTCTATGAGATTACATAAAAGGGGAATCCACATCAGCGTGAGATCAGGA